CCAAAGCTCAATGTAATTTAATTCTGTAAAGATGTTTTAGAGCTTGACTCAGCTCCCAGCTGTAAAAGTCTCTCTGATTTGCCAGCTGCCTTCTTCATAATACTCTGAAACTTGCATTTTTCCTTATAGCAGCCCCAAAAAGCCATTTTTGGTGCCATACTTGGGCTCTAGATTGTGTCTTTTCTTAAGTCTTTTCAGAAAGCCATCAACATAGGAGGTAAAAAAGGGTCTGATCCAAATCCCACTTGAGTCAGTGGAAAAGATTCCTGCTGAATGAAGTGAGGGCTGGATAAAATCAGTAGACCCTATTTTTTCATTCCCTGCCTAGACAGGAGTGATCTCTATTGTGCATTTCCAAGCTCTGGTATGAAATGACTCAAACTCTGAGGCTACTGCTTCTCCTGAGAACTACTCCCCAGACTAAACAGATCATCTGATAAGAAAATTATTCCCCCCTTTATTGCAACTCATACTCTTTACTTTGTTCCCCTGGAAAGCCTTAATTTTCATACTCCCTTGGTTGTGTTTTCACATTTCAAGTGATAATTAAGCACATAACATATTCCTTCTGCACTTTGCATTTGTATATATTTAGGTGCTTTCATACTTCCTTCTAGCTAGGCCCTTCCAATTTTTTAGGCATTTTGTAACTCTTCTGTGACTTCACTCCAATGCATAAACGTTCTTTCTCTCACTTGCCTGCATATGGCATCTAGAGATGTGAACTGCTTTACCAGTGTATACTACAGCAGCCACCAACAAGAATATTTGGGTGGGATTCATTTGATCCTTGGCATTAATAGTCACCCTAGACTACCTTTCAGCTACTAGGGAAAAAAAAAAAAAAAAAAAAAAAAAAAAAAAAAAAAAGACAGTTCGAGGGACTAATTTACGTAAACCTAAAGGAGAGGTTTAATACAGGTCAGAATGTGTCCTGAAGTGCCTGTGTTTCTACTGGAAGGCTTACAAGGGACTCTAGAAGTACTGGTGTGGCTGTGGAGACATCTCCCATCACATGATGCGAGTCACATCCTCGGAAATGTGCAACTGGAAATATTGCTTAGAGTGGCTTTGAAAGGGAACAAATGCCATGTGTAACAAAATAAAACTGTTCTGAAAGAATCAGTCCACTAACTTTTTATCCAGGGAGGCTAACAAAAATTAAGCATTTTTATAACCTTGGAAGTTCTTGCTTTGATGTTTTTAGAATGGAAAGTTGTGGTTGTTAATGCTGTTTGTGTTGAAAAGTGCTACAATGAAGATGCACCAGATTTCTAAAATGATTTAACAAAAAATTATGCTGAAACATGAATGAAATATTTCAGCATTCCCTGCATCCCATTTTCAGTTTAGCTTAGGTTTCTTTTTCTAATTTTGGTTCATAGAGAATTTCAAACTTCTTAACGTTCAGCCTGCTTCAGAACAAAATCACACTTCAAATTTGGGATTTCCAGCTAAATTTAGATAAGAGAGCTAGCTCCTGCTCCATTCACACACAGCCTTCCTCAATCTGTATTTTTATTTCTCTCTTTTACTCTTAATAGAATGCGGGAATACACGCTTCCAGTTTTGCTCCACTTGTCCTCTTTTTCTGAAGCTGCAATTTAGATGTCACTGTTGGCTTCTGACAAGCACAGCTTGTTCTCCAGCTCTCCGTGTACCGTACTTGACCGCGAGCATGTGGGGAGGAACACAGAAGGTCAGGGAGAAAATGTCATCCCTACACTTTTCAGTCCAAAATTCATCTGATGTGAATCAGCACTGCTCAGCTGACTATCGCTTTGTGCCTCTGAAGAGCTCAGATCTTACCATGGTATGTGCCTGTGCCATGTAAAGCCGTGGAGAAGGCATATCACTGAACGTTCTCTCCTTTTTAGGGTGGGTGCAGTGGCATGGGAGTCAAAAATGTCAGCTTGTTGAAGAAAACATATGAGAGCACTTCAAAACCCATGACATTCCTGCAAGCAGGCTGTCACCACTGATTTCCTTTCAGCTCCCTAACTTCAATTTTTGGCAAATGCCAAGGAACTCCTGCTCTAGGATCTACAGAGGGAAGATGGTCCACAAAGGGAATAGTTTCAGCACTGGGGACAATAAGAGGTCTGGGGCCTGAGACTTAGAGGCAGACACTCCCTTTTCTTTTTGAGAGAATTTCAAAATGCTTTGGTTTTCATTCCAAATTGGAAAAAAACAGACATTTTACAATTACAAAACCCTCCATAAAACTGAATGATCTTTCTCCCCACAGCTCCATCTGAAACAGATGGAAATATCTTTAGTGAAGTGACCACTTAATTAAAAATATGTAATACTAAATTAATACCATTTCAGCAGGTACTGGGAAGACAAGTGAAGATTGTACAACCTTTTCCAGGTATCTAAGACAACTATCTACTGCTTTTTAAGGTGTTTGGCAGCTGGTACGTAATTTAAACGATGCTTGCGGCTCCCAAATAGAAGAAATTAATGAACACAAAAGAGCAAGATTTCAATTAAAGTTCATCATGTAAAACAGGCCTCATGCCTTCCCTGACCACAGAGATTAGCTTTTGTGTCTGGAATTGCATTTCATAAACCTCCTCCCTTGACATGGAACATCTGCTCCCTTTAGGACTATTGTTTTACACCCATAAATAAAACATAAAATTACATTTTTGTCACTCTTCAGGCCAGATCTTCAGCTGGCATAAATCAATGGCAAGCAGTCAACCTCAGCAGAGCTCTGCTGACTTAAACCAAATGAGGATCTGGCCCTTGACGCTTTGGTGCTGAAGAAAATAATGGGTCTGGGCAGAGTGTGTGGGACATTGTTTATCAGAGAATGTGTGTGAAACTACGTGGAGCAAGTAACCATAAAGCATGATTGATCTCTCCAGCATATTTTAACACTTTTTTTTCAGTGTTTACTGAAACCTTTAAGGTAGTTCAGTCTTCTCGGATATCATTTTATGTTTGAAAAGCTTTCTAATTCATAATGAAAAGTTACGCGTCGGTCCAATGAACCTCTAGCTTCAATTACTTGCTGTGCAAATGGCTGGCCTGCATTTTGACCAATGTTTATGGTGCTTGGCAATTTTTCAGTAGCTACTTTACTGTGATATGATTAATTTCTTGCATAATATGAGGTTTTGCATGTGTGGAGCTGAAATAATCCTACTAGGCAGAAGAGAAATAAAAGAGCTTGTGTGTTTCAGCTCTAAAAACATTTGAAACATAACATCACAATTTTAAGCATGCCAATAATAATACAAGTTAGCCGTGGATGAAGACGACCACAAGAGACACGAAGTTCCTGATGGGATTCAGCATCATGAAAGTCATTATTTGGCTAGTCAGGTCAGCACACTAGATCATAGCTGGGCAGTCCCAGAAGCAGAGAAGCAAGAGACAAGCCTGGAGCTCATTGTACGTGACTGCAGCAGAAGTAAGAAGAGCTACCTATACTCGTTTGCTTTCTTATATGCCAAATCCTTCTTTACATGCTAGTCTCCCTTTGCACCACAAGTGTTAACATGTATTAACTACTCTGAAGTAAATGGAGGTAAAGCTTGAACAAACAACTCTTAATTTAAAAATATGTTTAGCTTTAAGCACCTGAAAAATCTCACTGGTGTCATGCTGGAAAGCTAGGGTTGTGCTTTAGCTTCTTTAGCTGGATCAGACTTTACAGCAGGGGACTAGATAATGACATTTGGATCTATGCAACCCGAAAAAGACAAATACTGCTGACATCTTTTTTTGAAAGGGCATGAGGAGAATGAGGTACCCGGCCCCTTATTGCATTCTAAAATACTTCCATGGCACCTGGCATCCACTTCTCTTTGGGCTCTGTAAAATGAGCAATATGGAGCACTATCACCCAATCTGTCTGCTTGCCTCTGCCATACCAACAGATATATCTGCTCTGATTCACTTCATCAGTTAGTGTCTTATAGTGCAAGCACATCCTTTTCAGTGATTTAAGCTAAAATATTGTGCTGTAAACTCGAGAAGCTCTTAGGTGGGCACATGATCCCACGTGCTCATTCATGGGGAAAGTTATCTTCAGCAGAAGTTGCAAAGCAGATCGCTGGAGGTGGTAACCTCTTAAACCACCTTTGCAAGAAGCTCTTAGGTGCCTTCAAAATCCTAACCTCCGTATTTTTACTTAATACAATCACACACTTGTCACTTTAATAGAAAGTATGTGTACATTGCAAATTCCAGTATAGCGAAGAGGTACTCAGACTAGCTATAAATGAGCTAGTCATAAATGAGCATGCTTTCTGGCAGGATAAATTAGCCCATATGGAGCTAACACTGCCAAAAAGCAGGGTAAATTAGTCCTCTTGGTGTTCTCTGCTGTCTCATCTTGACTGCGTCCAGTATCCACAATGGTTTGTTTACAGCTAGCTTGGGCATTTCTACATTGTCATATGGACATACGCAGAGCAATATTGTTGTTGTTGCCGTAACATCTACAGGAGCACAGGAACTGAGCCTGGGGGGTTAGTTACCTTCTACCTTTGCCTTTTATCTCAGTGCCGAGGGGTGGAGTCAGAGGTGATAGTACTGCAGCATGACCTTACTGAATTCAGCAGTCATTTCTGCTTACATGAATGTACACAAATTAGATGGTCTTCTTGGGTGATAGTGAATACTGAGCCATCCGGAACCCAAGAAATTACTTTATGGCCACAAAGATATGCTACAGAGAAGCATGTGATGCTGAGACCTTTGTGAGATTTTTGCTTCTTAATTTTTTTAAGGCAGCCTTTTGTAACACTTTCTGTTTAAAATAAACAGGTGATATATGTGGGATTAGTTGACCTACCCATAGTAACTCAGCCAGTTTGGTCCTTCAGGTTCTATAGATACCAAATCAACAGTATTACTTAGGTTTTAACATTCTTTTTTAATATCTAAAGGCTACATTTTCATGGATCTCAAACACTTCTAATAGTTTTGAATGGAAAAAAAAAAAAGCATTAAAAAGATTAAAAAACATGTTAGAAAATTACCTGAATTAGCTGAATTCACAATGAGTCCCGGATATCTGAAGCAACATCTATCCCTGAAATCTGAAGCGATGTGGAATTTCGTGAGGTACCTACACAGACAAAAGAAATGGAAAACTGAGCAAAGATCAATCTATACTGAAAACGTTCAGATACATTGATAGATAGGAAACTGCTCAGTATACATACACTTCCACTGCCAGGGAAGTGCTTAAGGCAGGGTGGCTTATTAAAGTTAGGTGAAGTAAAATAAGCTATGCTAATAAAAGCTGCATCAGTACATCTGCATCTGACAATTAGCACTTATACCAGCACAGCTATCTGGCAAAAAATCACATCCAATTTAATGCACACATGCCAGCAAGACTTCTAACATCAACTCCAAATATATCATGTTAACAGAATTCTACAGGTTTCAGAAATTAATTTCATCCAATAGTGCATAATTTTACAACCAGATAGTACAACAAGTGAAAATACACTTCAAATCGCTGGTTGACTTATGTGATCTTCCTTGCCTTGTCTAGACTTTACAGCAAAATTGGGTAGAGCAATCAGCGTGTGATGAAATCGCCTTGAAAATGTGAATGCAGCCCTTTCTTTTTCTGTATTTACTTATAGATCAGTGTACCCCTGAAGAACTATAAACAGCTGAGAGCAAAAAATAAAGGGACCTCTGAGAAGTTTTATGTCCTCCAAACTATAAATGTCAGGTGGTAATACTAGGCCATTTATTTTTCCGTAGAAATACATAAATATTTTCTCTGAAAAAAAAAAAAAAGCTAGCTCATCACTGGAAATTTAATTAAATACATATATAAATTTACAGTGGTACTGATGAATGCCTTTAATAAGTGGAATTGACAATATTTTAATTCTCCTGAAGAAAATAATGTGTGAAGAAAATGAACAAAAAAAAAAAGAAAAAAATTTAGAAAAAATAAAAGAAAGGAAAAAATAATTAAAAAAAAAAAGAAAAGAAGAGAAAAAAGAAAAAAGAAGGAAGAAGAAAATAAAAAGTTCTTGCATTTTTAGCTTTTGGTGTTTTGGACTTTTTTTTTTTTTTTTTTTTTTTTTTTTTCAGATAATGGAGCAGTAATGAAAAGGACCAGCCAGAGATCTGTATAAAAATCCAGATGAGGCAAAATTCTGGTATAGCAACAAAGAACCACAATGGGCTGGCTAGCTTCAGGATCTGCATTTGCCAGAGCAAGCATTACAGCCTTACCCAGCTAAGGGCCAGTGTGCGATATTTAGCAGTGGAGCTGAGCACATGCACATGGTTGAGGGGCGAGGGGCACACACAGCATTTTCTGAAGGTGGGATTCCTCACTACTGTGCTTTCCCTCCCCAGTTAAGGGTTGAAACAAGCCACTGGAATCTACTGTATGTCCTGGGGAAATGAATGCCCTGGATGCTTTCCAACATGTATTTCTACCTTTCTACAGCAAACAAACAATAGGCCAAGTAGGATGTTGTATGTCGCCCTGAAAAAAAAAAAAAAAAAAAAAAAAAAAAAAAGTGAAGTATTGATAAACTGAAATTAATTTTTACAAAAATGTTTATATCAAGTGCATATGCTTTGCCTCTTGGCCATTATGGAAATGTCAGGGGTTTAATTGGCAGCTGTGAATAGCAGCACCTGCAAACAGCTCAGGGCTTGTTCCTGTGGTCTGGCAACATTCTTACTTTATGCTTTAAATAAAGGCTTACTCACTGAGACAGAAATAACTGACAGTGGATGATTGATGATTGCCCATCACGCAATGGCTGACATCTACCATTCACTGAATCCATTTACAATTTCACTTCCAGATTTCATTAACAGGTCCGTGACATCTAGGAACGGGATTGATACAGATGGCAGCTCAGTTACAGAGTTCAGCTGATGCTGAGTGTATGTTAAGCATGGAAAACAGATTACTATGAGCTCCAATCTATCTCATGTGGTACATTTTGGAAACTCTATCTGTTTACTCCAGGTAACCTTTTATAGTTCTATTTATCCTGCCTAGTTTCAAACCAGATAGCAATTTTCCATAGTGGAGAATTTATAGTGCCATTTGCAACGTGCGTTTATAAAATACTTACTTCCATGAAATATTAAGACAAGATTTTGGCATTCTAAAGGTTCCCTTTTTGCTTAAGAAGGAAACAAAAAAATGTGATCACATAAAATCCGTGATTTCCCTCATCACAAATATCCTTTTCTGAGCAAAACAAATGGCTCACTCCCCACCGCACACCTGCGTAGGCTCCAAACCCCAGTGGCCATGGAGCTTAGAGGCAAATAAAGAAATTCCCAGCTAGAGAGGCCAGTCCCACTTTGCTCAAAACTCCTGCTGACCTCTGCCTGAGATGGGACACAGCGTCCTGCAAATCCTTGGGTTTATCTCGAGCTCATCAGGTTTGGCACAGGCTGTTCTTCATGAAGGCTGAGGCTCAAAATGCAATTTTCCATTTTCATTAGGAAGCTGGGCCAAATATCAGATCTGAAGTTAGTTTTCAAACCCCAGAAGGTCTGGAGCTGCTCAGACACAGGATTTCAAGTCAGTTCACTGTTAGGGTGAGGGATGCTTCTAAAATTCAGAGTCTCCTTCAGATCAAGGGCTCAGGCTTGGCTACCTTTCCTTCAGTATTTGTGTGGACGTCAGTACAGCAGCAGCAGAAAGTGTTGATATTCACCCTGAGAAGCTCTTGACTTCTTAAAGAATATCAAGAAATCTTAGCGGTCACACCTAGATTAAAATTATAGTCTGTAAAATTAAACAATCGCAGCCTAGAAAACACTTATAACCAGTTCTTCCATGCAAGGGAGGAGAGTAAGAAATTAGCAGAGTAGAAACCAGTTATAGTATCTCATCCAAGCAAGTAAGGGTCCCACTGAATGGGCTGATGCCACTGCTCTGTACAGCTCAGCTGCTGAAGAAGTGCACAATGTGCAACAGCTTTTTTTTTCCATTATCAGATCCTGCTTTTGCTTCTCTAGCTGAGTCTGTGAAGTTTTCAGTGCCCTCTCACAGAGCCCTCTCTAGGAATGCACCTCGCATGGGCAGGTGCTGGAGCAAAGTCTGAAAGCAGGTGGACAACCAAGGCTCTCAGAGCAGCTGCCAGACGCTTCAAGGAGACAGTCTTAATTTTCACATCCGTCCACGACCTTAATTTTTATATCAACCCAGCTTTCAAAACTCTGTGAACATACAGTGAACCCTCTGTCAGCTGCTCCACCCTTCTCTTCCTTTTTAAAGTCACTGTAGCTTCACTGTCTCCTATTTTGCCATCAGTAGGGTCTTCTGAAACCCAAATTTGTGCTGTTCTTATTCTTACAGCCAAAAGATCATGCAGTGGAAACTGGTGTTAATGCGGTTCTTTAGCAGGTGCAGAGATAGCCGGTTTCCAGAATGACCCTTGTAATGGCTTTCCAGAAACATCATGTTTCATCTCAAACTTGCTGAGCCAAATCCATTCCTTCTGTATTTCACCCAACTCTGTACATTTAAGCCACTACTTCAATCTCCATACATAATTGCATGCAGTCTTTCTCCTAAGATTCAGTGGCTCTTTTCTTTATTATGATTAATTAAAGCAATTAAAGATGATCTCACAGAAACTCTAGAATTAACATTGTGCAAATATTTATACAGAAGCTAAAGCTAAGAGTTTCCCCCTTTTCTAGGTGAAACATGGAAGATTCATTCCAGTAAAAACAAATACATTGTCCAGTTTAACTAAAGACAGCATGAAAAGTCTTCCTTTCTACCTCATTCAAAAAAAAAAAAAAAAACTGCAATGCTTTTTGTAAAGAAAACACTCTCCTTCTCTGCATACCTTCTCTTACGTGTGCAATCAGTGATGGCAATAGATGACAGTACAGTTTTTCCAAGAAATTCCCCTGAAGTTGCAAAAAGTAACTTTCTGTAATATGTTTACATTCAGTGATGCGAAAAGGATTTTTAAAGCTTGTCAAAGATACCAGAAAAATGCAGCAACTGTAACAGAAACAGCTACATCCTGCTTTGGAAATGAGGACCTATATGCAAGAGCTTAAACAAGGCTTTAAAAAGCTACCTTTAGGCACACCTTTTGTTTTTCCTGCTTCTGCAATTTTGGTTCATCTGAATGGATCTGCACTGATTTTTTTTCTGTCTAGCACACAGCTGGAGATATTGGAATATTTTTTGCTACTCTTTGAAGATATACTGTAAAAAAGCACACTAAGGAGCTACTTCAGCTTGGCACTCAGGTGAGGGCTCGATGCCACCTCTCTGCAGCAAAGCCTGGAAGCAGCACTTGAAAGTGAAGTATGTGCCCTGATGCTCTGTTGAGCAGGAGCCCCCAAATATGACAGATGTACCCCAAAGTCAGGAAGAATAAGAGTCCACTCCAATTCTAGCCATTCGAGTGCAGGCATCCAGCTCTGAGCTAGTCACCGGGGCTCGCTCTATAGCAAGTGGACAGAAGTACTCCCAGGTTGTGAATATCATCTCCTGCTCTGGTAAGCATTTAAAACAGCTCAAATCACTCGTGAGCTCCAAGTGCCTGTTTCCGACCACTGACTAGATGAAAACATTCAAATGACTGGCCTAGACATAGGCATCCACTTCACTGTCATCTAAAATGACACGAGACGCATCCCACCCATAATGAAACAAAATCTCTAGAGAAACCTTACTCGTGCCCCAGGAGTGGAGAAGTTACAAGTCAACAGATCTTTTTTTTTTTCTTTTTAACTCCTGCATAATCCTGCTTCATCAGTTTTCAGGCATGAAAGAGATGAAACAGTAGAGTTAATACATTAAATACTATCGGGATGATCTCTGCTTCTGCCTTGTAGTTATGCGTAGCCTGGGGATGCTGCAGAGTGGTTTGTAAAGACAGAGAAAGGTATGTCCAGCAAGAAAAAGCTCAACCTGTGGGTGCAGTAAAGTAATGTCCCAGAGTTTTGTCATTCAACAGGACATGGGTTGCCTTTGATGTGGTTTGAAGCTCTGAGGCAGAGCAGCAATGAAGGCAGTTAGAGCTAAGCTGCTGGCGTGGCACCAAGGCAGAGTGGGGAGCACACCCTGTCTCTCTGCTGCTGCAGGAGTTCCTG